GGATAGTTGGTCAAATTAATGTAAGTCTCAAAATAAATAACTTTAATTGATTTGGTTGCAGAAAATGGCAACTGTGCTATCCACCTCCTAATATCAGAAAATATAAGTCTGGAGATATTGCCACATGGTTAAAGGGATACATACAATTGTGTATCCTTTTTAATTGACAGGACAGGGTTGTCAGAAATTTTTGAGTGACAGACAAACAGATAGGCTTGGGCAGTATCTATTTTTCATGCAGTACCTTCATACCTCCCTAACATTTCACTGGGGCATACATTATATGATGGAATTTGTTTAACATTATTTTCTCCATATTAAACAAAAAATATATATGAACAACGGTTCACCTCCTGAATTCAAGTTTCTCTCTTTCACCAAACTAAGATTAGCTTAATTGCCTTGTTAACTAATTGTAAAAAAAACACTTCACTTGACAGAAACATTATAAAACTCACCAAAATTATCTTTGTCTTTCCACTGTTCCAACAATCACCAACTTGATCCTTGGTTGAGATAAACCCTTAAAGCCACAGTGTGTAGGAATTTCTCCCATCTAACGTTGAAATCATATATTGTGTTCAAACAGATGGCGCACTCTAGCGCCTCACTGTTTCAAACACGTATTGCAACAACTGTATCCGCTGTGTACCAAAAATCTATGATAACACTGATGAAACCATGTCATCCGATACTTCATGGAGTATTCATTCAGGCTCCTACACAGACACACGCGACCCAAGTTGACAAACCCCCTCCTCACCATGCTGGCTGTGTTTACAACGTAGGACTGTTGGGGCGGATGTAAATTGAAACAAACCGATCACGTCTTGTCCTTTGACAACTGACAAGTGGCTCAACCTCACACACCTCATCCCTCTCCTCGCATTACTGCGCCGCTAACAGCTGTTAGTGGCCAGCGGCACTACTGCCGCATAACAAAGTCCCACTCTTTGAGCATAATGCAGGATCATGTATTATGCAGCATCACGGGAGACGGAATCCTCGTCGCCAAGAAAGTGCAAAAGGGAATCAAAAAGGCAGCGTGACCGGCGAATTAAAAAAACAAGGGTCAGCATTGGGGTTGCCTTTCCCAGGTGGAGAGAGCTGCTGAAGGAGAAAGGTAATACAATCACAGGCCAGCGCTAACAGCGGCTAACAGCGGCTAACAGCTAACAGCGGTGCAGTGATGCGAGGAGAGGGATGAGGCTGTTAGCGACTGGCCGCTAACAGCGGCTAACAGCCAACAGCGGCGCTGGCCTGTGATTGCATTACCATTCTCCCTCAGCAGCGCTCTCTACCTGGGAAAGGCTACCCCGATGTGGGCCTTCGTTTTTTTAATTCGCCGGTCACGCTGCCTTTTCTATTCCCTTTTGCGCTTTCTTGGCGACAAGGATTCCGTCTCCCATGATGCTGCATATGCATGATCCTGCATTATGCTCAAAGAGTGGGACTTTGTTTCAAATTTGCCAGGGTAGTAGCGAAGCGCCTCTTGCTCCTCTCCTTCGGCTCCTCAGTCACGCAGTGCTGGCCTGGCTCTCAATGAAAACGCCGAAGGCGGTGCTGTATGTCCCTTGCTGGCGGATGTATTCTCAAGATGGCAAAATGTAATGAAAGCCCACAGATGACAGACTTACCCGCACAATGTACAAACAAATCCGAAATTCTCCTTTTACGAGAATAAGTCAGATTATTGGTGGAGGTAATAGTACACCAGTGATGACATATTTATGAATGCAGACATCAATTTTTGCCAATAAACAACTGGAAATGTTACACAATGTCCCTTTAACTTAATGGGTCAAATGTAACAAAATGCTGGCTTTACATGCTGTTTTTCTTGACTGTTTCTCTGCTATTGCTGGCCAGCTTTTTACTAGTCCTGTAACGTTATCCTGACGACTCATAGTCCCCTTCTTTCTTAGCTCAGCTGTCTGTTCCACCAGTAGAGACTGACCTCTGGTGGCACAGTTGTGCACTACATACAATACATCCCCTCAATACAGCCTCTCAGTATCAATTTAACAGAACGATTAAGGATTTCTAAATACCCTGGTATACCTTGGTACCTTGATACAGCCCAAGCTTACTAACAAATTGTTTGTTCAATTTTCAATCAATTTTATTTATAAAGCCCAATATCAAAAATCACAATTTGCCTCACAGGGCTTTACAGCATACAGCATCCCTCTGTCCTTAGGACCCTCACAGTGGATAAGGAAAAACTCCCCAAAAAAAACCCTTTAACGAGGGAAAAAATGGTAGAAACCTCAGGAAGAGCAACTGAGGAGGGATCCCTCTTCCAGGACGGACAGACGTGCAATAGATGTCGTACAGAACAGATCAACATAATAAATGAAAAAATAAACAGTAATCTGTATGACACAATGAGACAGAGAGAGACAGAGAGAGAGAGATGCAGGACAGACAGTAATGACAGTAGCTTACAATAACAATAATGAAAGTAATAATATTATAATTATAATTCTGGCTACTGTGGTACAATATGTTGAAAGTATAATAATATCTGATAGTATACATATGTGACAATAATCATATGTGTATAATAACAGTAGAAGTATGACTAATGACTAATGATGGCAGCAGCAGCAGGAGGCATCTGGCAGGACAATGGCAGCAGCACAACCACACACGTCACACTATCCAGGCACCGCTGCGATATAAGTTAACCTGCAAGACAGTGGAGCACAAAGGCTCCGGAGAAGAAGGCGAGCTAGTGACATGCAGTATGACCCAGTTAGCAAGGCCCTAACTATAAGTTTTATCAAAAAGGAAAGTCTTAAGTCTAGTCTTAAATGTGGAGACGGTGTCTGCCTCCTGTACCGCAACAGGAAGATGATTCCACAGGAGAGGAGCCTGATAGCTGAAGGCTCTGGCTCCTGATCTACTTTTGGAGACTTTAGGGACCACGAGTAACCCTGCGTTCTCAGGGCGCAGTGTTCTGGTGGGATAATAAGGCACTATGAGCTCTCTAAGATATGATAGAGCTTGACCGTTTAGAGCTTTATATGTTAACAGTAGGATTTTAAATTCAATTCTGGATTTTACAGGGAGCCAGTGCAGAGAAGCTAAAACAGGAAAAATATGATCTTGTTTCTTAGTTCCTGTTAGTACACTTGCTGCTGCATTCTGAATTAGCTGGAGAGTTTTTAAAGACTTAATAGGGAGTTACAGTAATCCAGCTGAGAGGTAGCGAAAGCGTGAACCAATTTTTCGGTATCTTTTTGGGTCAGGATAGGCCTAATTTTAGTAATATTATGCAGATGAAAAAATGCAGTCCGTGAGATTTGTTTTAAATGAGAGTTAAAAGACAAATCTTGTTCAAATATTACTCCAAGGTTTCTTATGAGGCCAGAGCAATGCCATCTAGAGAAACTATGTCATCAGATAAAGAGTCTCTGAGTTGTTTGGGGCCAAGAACAATAACTTCAGTTTTGTCTGAATTTAACATTAGGAAATTGGTGCTCATCCTGGTTTTAATGTCTTTAAGACAATTATGAAGTTTAGTTAATTGATTAGTTTCTTCTGGCTTTGTTGATAAATACAACTGTGTATCATCCGCATAACAATGGAAATTTACAGAGTGATTTCCAGTGATGTTACCTAAAGGAAGCATATGGAGTACGTAAGGATGATTCATTATGAACGTGAACAAACTGAAAATGATCAGATAAATAAGATATAAACCAGCTTAGTGCAGAACCTTTTAGACCAATTAAATGTTCCAGTCTCTGTAGCAGAATTTGATGATCAATTGTGTCAAACGCTGCACTAAGATCTAATAAAACAAGTACAGAGACGAGTCCTTTGTCTGAAGCAATCAGAAGGTCATTTGTAATTTTAACTAGTGCTGTCTCAGTGCTATGATGCACTCTAAATCCTGACTGAAATTCCTCAAATAAATTATTATCATGGAGAAAATCACACAGCTGGTCTGTGACTACTTTCTCAAGGATCTTTGACAGAAAGGGAAGATTAGATATTGGTCTATAGTTGGCTAACACCTCTGGATCCAGGGTGGGCTTTTTTAGGAGAGGTTTAATTACAGCTACCTTAAAAGACTGTGGTACATAGCCTGTTAATAATAATATATTGATCATTTCTAAAAAGTGAGTGTTAACTAGAAGTAAGACCTCCTTAAGTAGCCTAGTTGGGATGGGGTCTAAGAGACACGTTGATGATTTAGATGAAGAAATCACTGCGGTCAATTCTTGAAGAGAAATTGGGGAGAAGCAATCTAAATATATATTCGGTCTTACAGTTGTGTTTGAGGGCAGATAGGTACTATCTGAGGACAGGACGTCATGAATTTTGCCTCTTGTGTTTGGCCCTTTCATGGTTTTGATCATCAATAAGGTAAAATCTGCACATAACCTAAAAGAACACAAAGAACCCCTACAAAATATAGCATGTAACACCAGCCTTATCCTATGAGCAGCATTCAAAGCTGGGTCCTTTGGAAGCAGATCCAGCAGTAGTGTAAAAAGGTTGTTCTTTGTCTTGGACCCACTTTGAGATCAGGGTTGCACTTGCATCATGGGTCATGGGAAGAATTAATATTAAAAGAATTATTACAAGACCAGTGACCTGATGATAAAAGATCAGACAGCTATGTGACCCACCATGACTCTGCATCTTGTGTTAACAGATCAACATGGTGATATTACATTACTTGTCATCAGGTTTGATGTAGAGGGGCCACGCAGTGCAGGCTGAAGACGGTAAAAAAAAAAGGTAGTCAGAAGGCTGTTAACTCTGAGAAAATCTTCACATTATTTCTTTGTTTGGTTGTAGTGGTAGAATGACACATTGAAAGATGAAATTAACATGCTTTCTGCTCTGTCCTGAGTACAGCTCATAGTACGCGAGATCTCCTTCAAACTTGCAAACAATCACAAATGATAGCCTGTGACCTATGCTGTGATACATGTGAAGCAAGATCAACTAAATCTTGATTCTTTTCTTTCCCTTCTCCTCAGCATGTGACAGTAACCACTGGGGTCCCCACTGCAGTAACAGATGTCAGTGCCAGAACGGCGCACTGTGTAACCCAATCACCGGAGCCTGTATCTGCACTCCTGGATACAGAGGCTGGCGCTGTGAGGCCCAGTGTGAAGTGGGCACCTATGGAAACGGATGCCAGCAGAAATGCCAGTGCCAGAATGGAGCCGCTTGTCACCACGTTACTGGAGAATGCAAGTGTTCGCCAGGATACACTGGAGTTTTGTAAGTTGGAGGAGAGAATGTGTGAGAATCTGTTCCCTGCTTCCAATCCCAACAGTGACTTAAAAGTAAAAGCTCAGGGCCCATTGAGAAACACTTTTTCTGCTTGGGTAGCACCCAGTTTTGTATTCTGTGTTGCTGGATATGTTAACATGCATAAAAATGTCTTTCCAAAGCCAGTTTCTGAAGAACCTTTGCCAGAGTATGAGCTCATCTTTTTTCATGGGTCAACTCAAAACAAGTTACTAAAGAGACCAAGTCAGACTGGAACAAGGAGTCTCATGACTCATGTGATCAGTTGGGCTCAGTTAGACCTTAAAGGTCTTGTACTGTAAGAAGTGAGATTTCCATGTCATTTTAGGGGCAGTACACATGCCACATCTTTAACTGCCTGGAAAACATGAGGTCGGGTGCTGAGTGCAACTCTTGTGTCTATTCTGTGCTAGCTTTCAAGAGAGCGGAGGCTCAGGCTCACATACGGGCAACCAATCACATCTTTTAAAGAATGCATCATACCAAGGTCAAAAAATTCTGTCCCTTCCTTGCTCAGAGAATTTTCCTACATAACTCCTAAAATAGGACTCCTTGCTAGAAATTTTATGGCTAGTTAGGAGCACTCTGAAAGTATTCTCATAATGCTTGTGAATACAGCACCTGGTCAAGGTGGGCACTAAAATAAAAAGTTTAAAATACAGATGCGCAGGGTTCTTGGAATCAGTGGGAAGGAACTGCGTCACAATATTAGGCTGTGAAAGCACTATGATTGTTTGACCGCTACTGATGGAAGGTTTAGACATTCTTTCTGAGACAGTCATCACTGCTGCACTGTTTCATTTTTCCAGTTGCCAAATATCTCAGTGTTTTATTTCTACCTTTTTATCATTACTGCATTGGGTTAGACATGTGAGTGCATCTCTGATGAGATCAACCATAAACATTATCTCTGCACAGTCTAATTTGTAGCGTTTCATTATCTCACTGATTCAGTGTTTGGAGAATATTTCTCTTTCATCTTTGACTTTATACCTCCACACCAGTGACAGCTGTGTCCAGAGGCATTGGCCCTCATTTATGAAAAAAATGTACGACACAAAACTGGGCGTAGGGTTAGCATTTAAGATCGGCATTTATCAATGGGGATGTGAGCAGAGCGTATGATCACGTCTCAGCTCGTGTACCCAAGTTTGAGTCAGCTGGATTTGCGGTGCAGCAGTAAATCTGGCTCAGCTGAACAATTGTTATTAGACAGTATTCTGACTGACATCTATCTATTTGCAGCCACATATTAGTCACCTTAAAAAAATGTATAGTCACCATATGGACATGCACACTCTCTCACAGCTCGCAGTCGCCTGGCTCCTTTTCCAGGCTGACCGAATGATGAAAACGCTTGTGTCTAGCTCTATCTGAAACTTTTCTTTGTTTTTAAACACTGACAAACCTAAGCATGTTTATGTCATTTATCATTAAAACATCATTAAAAAGAAATAAATGAACTCTTCAACAGTGTAATTATTTAAATAATAGTAGCCTAGGTGATTAAATTGATTGAAATTTGATCTGGGATGTCAGGGTTTCCATTTCTATCTTAGAGAAGTTTCTCTTCTTGGCTGTACGATATCTCTCCATGGCATAAACTATATTGGGATGGGATACATTTACGAACAACCAATCATTCCTATGCTGTGACTGGCGAGATAAGAATGTGTTACGCAAATCTTATCATAAAACTTTTTTCACATTGGGATCTGCGCTGGTTTTTGAGATAGATTGATAAATGAGGGTGATTATGTTTTTGGATTGTCTGTCCTTCGCTTTTTCGTGAATGCCATATCTCAAGAACGCCTTGAGGGAATTTCTTCAAATCTGGCACAAATGTGTAATTGGGCCCAGGGATGAACTCATTAGATTTTGGTGGTTAAAGGTCAAGGTCACTGCAACCTCATCCATTGCATTTTTTGAAAGTGACATTTCAAGAACACCTTGTGGGAATATCTTCAGATTTGGCACAAATGTCCATTTTGACTCATCAATGAACTGATTAGATTTTGGTGGTCAAAGTCAACGTTACTGTGACCTTGTATCCATCGCATTCTCGTGAATGCGATTTGTCAAGAACGCCTTGAGGAAATTTCTTCAAATTTGGCACAAATGTCTTCTTGGACTTAAAATAATTAGCTGATTAGATTTTGGTGGTCAAAAGTCAAGGTCGCGTGGCTTTATGAAACATGTTTTTTGGCCATATCTCAAGAATTCATCCACTAATTATGATAGTATCTCACCCAAATGTCTAATAGGATAAAAGTGTTGACATTGTATATCCAAAGCATTAAAGGTCAGGTCAGCTTCACTTTGGTGTCCACCTTGAAACTGTGCTGATTGTATAGATCTTCTGTGCTGCCATGGGGAGGATGTGTGTGAAGCATCCAAGTTTTCACAAACATGGATGGAAATTGTAGCTGCAACTTGACTGGTTCAAAGAGGCATACAAACGCAAGGCAGTAATTTTAGTTTCTGTTACCTCTTATCTGGAAGTTATTTATTTCAGGATGTGAATGAGTTTGAGGTGGGAAGGTTATTTACGTGAAATTTCTATGTAAAGTAATTTTGAAAAATTGAAGGTTAAAGAATAAATTATGATTATCAGAGATATACAGCATTGTAATACCTTATCACACAGAACATCATCGTCTAACCACACCTTAATGTCACTTTTTAAAGTCTACACTATCATTAGTGCTGAAACAATCAGTTGATTAATAAATCATGCGTCAACCAAAAATCCCACCATTGGCCATTTGTTATATTTGCTGAAACTGTCACTGTGTTTTGAAAGACGTACATGAGACAGATAGTCTGGAGAAATAAATAATGTGTCCTCCAACTGCTTTTAAGGGCATTTGCAAGAATCTACTGCAGTAAACCAAAAGCAATCAGAGCCGGAGTCTTAGGTGCAGCTGTCTTTTATGTCAGTCACTGCTCATGAACTGAGGTCAAACTTTCAAACTAAGCAGCGTTGATCAAATATGAAGATTCTGTTACTGCATTGCCTATTTGCTGCCTCAAATGTTTCCAGAAAAATATTTCAGTGACTGTTTAGCTGTAAAGTCAGAAAGATTGCTCCAGCCAGTAGGCGGTGTTTTGTTTCGACTGGACTGTTTTCAACATAGCATCACAAACTTCTCATTTTACAGCTAAACAGTCACTAAAATATGTTTCTGAAAACATTTCAGGTGAGAAATTTAAAATGCAGTAACAGAATTTTGATTCATATTTGATCAGCACTGCCTAGTTTAACAATTGACCACAGTTGATTGACATGATTGACAGCTGCATCAGCAACATCCTCAGCTCTGATTAGTTGTTTGCATTCATGTGCTATAATGCCATCAGAGCACTAAGATCAGGTAGAGGAATGTGATTTTTTTCACAGATTATGAGTCTCATTTAGTACTGTGTAAACATAAGGACAGTGTCTGCAAATAATAAATAAAAAATAATGATAAAAGTTACCAACTACAAATTCAAAATATTAGGATTTGCTTATTGTCTTTGTGTTATATTATATCATTTTAAAATAAACATCTTATGGTTTTGGACTGTCAGATTTTTCAGAGTTATTTAACATTTTATACATTCATTACAAATCAAATGACAATGAAAATACTGGCTTTGGATGAGAAAATGAATGTGACGTGACAAACTTTTACATCTTTGAAGCAAGTTTTATGATGGTTACTTAAACTTAACTTATATGATCTTTAAAAATGATGCTTTTGTCTTTTTCTTCCTAGCTGTGAAGACCTGTGTCCTCCAGGGAAACATGGGCAGCAGTGTGAGGAGAGATGTCCATGTCAGAATGGAGGAGTGTGTCACCATGTGACAGGAGAGTGCTCCTGTCCTGCAGGATGGATGGTACACACCTACAACTGTGTTTAATTTTAAACTCATTGAAAGAACAGCTTATCGTCATTCGTACTCCTAATGATTGTGTTTAGAGTACACAGTGGCACAATATCTGTACTGTAGTATATAACATGAGCAAAATCACTTTAAATGAATGAACAATATTGTTAATAAACTATCTAAGGGAAGTCAAAGGTGCTAAGGGCCTAACAGAATTTAGCAGCAGAGTAGGCGTGAGAGAACCCTCATTAGGTTGGTGAACAAGAGCAGGTAAATCCTCCGACATGCTGTCTTCTGACAACATGTCAGTATGAGCTGAACCAGAGAAGATAAAGGCATGATATGTGTGAAGCAATGAGCAGCTCCCTTAGCATATTTGATAAAGTTCAAGGCCCACAGAGATTCAACAACGGCTCTAAGAAAGACAACAGACATGACTATCAGTCTCCTTAAATCACTATGTTGAGGTCATAAAAAGGGAGCCCTTACTTCTTGTCAGAAAGAGTTTGAAGTTACAACACAGAGAAGGGAGCTGTGCGATTAGGAAAATGAGTTTCTTCTTTTTCACATACACCAGTAGGACTAGAAAACACAAAGGCACTTATTCAGAGATTTGAGGTGTAAAGCTTTTCACATGATCATCAGTTCAGATACTGTGTGTATGTTGCTGTGTGCAGGGTACAGTGTGTGGTCAGCCATGTCCAGAGGGGAGATTTGGACAAAACTGTTCGCAGGAATGTCAGTGTCACAACAACGGTTTCTGTGTGTTGTCTACTGGACAGTGTCTCTGCAGCCCTGGATTCACAGGAGAGCGGTGAGAGCAGCCTTTACAATGTACCATACACGACTATACAGCACATGACTGTGCACTCCTGTCTGTGTTGTTACTGTGATGTTGTCCATGTTTTTACTGTGTGCTATGTATTTGCTGTTGTTTGATAATGTACAGTGCTGGGGAAAAGAATTTCCCTTCTGAGACAATGAAGTCTAAGTCTAAATCTATGACAGCATAAGATGGAAATGATGTCCTCCTCAGCTGAGCTGTAACATTAGCTAACTCAGTGGTACTAGGTGAGCTAGCAGTAAATGAGCGCGTCCTTCTGTGCAGTGATACTGTTGGTCGTGTAGTTTTGTAGAAAGAAAATAGTTTGTTCATCAAACTGCTCACAACAAGGTCTGGGGATTATCTTGAGTAGTCGGGTCATGATTTCTAGAAAAAGACATTGCTGTTGAGTTTTTCAAATGCATTTTTTTTTTTTTGGCACTTTGAGCACCACAAGCCAAGTGCCATCTAGTTCCATTATACTGGAGAGAAGACAGATATCTCTATGGCCAATATCTCCAACACTCAGCAATTTACACCAAAAATCTATTCTAGACTGACAAATATCACTACAGATAAGAGGGAAAAGGTGGATTTTAAATATTGGGGTGAACCGTCCCTTTAAGTTAAGCTTCACATTCATTGACATTCACTGTGACACATCAACCATGCATTCATTTGTGAAATTGTTTACATTTGTTCAGAATAGATAATGTATTTGTGAACACCATAAATGACTCACAGATCATCATACAAATATAATTTTATAATTTTATGGCACAGCCATAACAACCAGAGAAAGGTGGAAGAGCTTGTGTACACATAGCGTGTGGGCATCTCCAAGTGCAACTGCTATTTTGCAACACTTAGTTTTGACACAAATAAGCCAATCACAGTGAAGTATGATAACAAGGCTCAATAAATGGAGAGAGCTTCTCTTGGAAAGAGGATTGTTGTCTGGATGGTGCAGGGCCACACAGTGCAAACACACAGCACCACAAAACTACAGCCAGAAGTAGAAGTTGTGAGTTTTATAACATAATTAGCAGAGTGATAATAGAAATAAATAGCAACAACAATAAGATTGTATTTGTTATATGACTGCATCAATCTGACGCAATTTCTTTTATAATTCTAATGTATCTGACAGCATATTCATCATAATTTCTTTCAAGAATGAAATATGAAACACCAGTTTTGCTTTTAAAAGCTGGAATGTAAGCAGTGACACACAGGATTGATGTTTCCCTGTAATTTGATGTCCCCCGCATAGTTTTCCACAAGCACTTCAGCACCCATTCAAAGTACAGAATACCACAGCAGCAACCACTCACTGTCTGAAAAAGCCTTTAAAGTAAAGGATGTCATCAGTAGGAGCTAAGGGTGTCACAAGATTTGCCCTTTTAATTTATTTTCTTGTGTCTTTTTGATGTTTCACCACAGTTAAAAAATTAGGTGACATTTACATCACCTTGAGATATGGTAGGTGACAATAAAGCTTATGGCTGCTGATTGTCATAATGCAACACACTTTCCAGCATGTGAGGTTTCCAAATGGACAAACTTCAGCGACCATCACATTTATCTGCTTCTGCTCTGCCATACAGCTACACTATTAAAATGAGCCACGCTGTTGCGCAGGGTGACATTTTCCTTCATTACCATGAACACACACACTGTAGTTTATTTTGACTTAGTCACACATACACCATCCTGCTGTCCCAAATACTTACTAAAGCACTTTTACGTATCTGCGTACATGGGGCTCAGTAGCTCAGTCCATAGGGACTTTGCTTGGGAACCAGAGGGTCACCAGCTCAAGCCCCTGCATGGCCCAAGTTGACTTGCAGCTGGAGAGGTGCCAGCTTGCCTCTTGAGCATCAAACTCCCGACTGCCTGGGGCACCCATCCATGAGTGGCAAGGGCAGCCCCCTCGCTCTGACATCCCTCCATTCACTGTATGTATAGGTCCTGATTATCCATGTGTGTGCAGATAAAAACAGAGTGAAAATTTTGAATTTCGCCTCAGGGATCAATAAAGTATGTCTTCTTCCTCTTCATCATCTTCTTCTTCCGAGGCCTAGTGTCTCATAACCCGCCTACTACTCCATATTTTAGAGGCAAATATTGTACTTTCTTTTCACTGGTAACTTTGAAGTTTGAGATCTTGGGCTCTAGTTTCGCAGACCGGGCGAGGCGGGGGTGCAGCGCACCTGCGCTTCGCCAACTGGGTGTGGCCAGGCGGATTTTGCAAGTTTGGCACACCGTGCGCCTGGCGCAGCTACTCCTCTTTCCCACCTCCGTCCCTCCTACCTGCGCAAGTCGGAAAGAGGGAGGAGAGAAGGCGTGGAGTGGGTTTTACACACATCACACCAATCAAATGAGCCCCTCTCCTCGCCCTTAAATGCGCCGCGCGAAGGCGTAATGAGAGTTTACTCAATTCGCCATGGCAGAAGAGAGCAGCAGCGTCAGACGGCCAAACTTCTCCCAGGAGGAAACTGATGTTTTGGTCCGGGAGGTCCAAGCTCGCAGTGTCCGAATATACGGAACTGCGAGCAGACCTCCACGGGCTGATGATGCAAAGGTAGCCTGGGAGGAGGTCACCACAATTGTAAATCAATGTTGTGTTTCTCTCGTGCGCGCGCTCTCTCTTTCTCTCTCTCGCAGTCTCACTCTGTTTCTTTTCTTTAGACTTTTCTAAGATGACAGATGCTGAATATATACTCCCTATCTGATTCTGTGGCTGTTTGTGGTTGGCTGAGAGGGATGTGAACTCACTAGTTTGCAGCTGTGTTAATCAAATCAGGTTGGGTTTCAATTACGCGTGCCAAACATTCCAAACGGTGCCAATCCCCTTTGATCTGACATCAGATGTGACGGGACAGTCGATATAGAGATACATTTATGTGCTGATTGCAGATAGTTGCATTGAATAGTGTTTTTTTTGGTATTTATTGCATTATTAATGTGCCTGATATTCTGGAAACCTGCCTGTGAGGTTTTGGTGACGTGTGCGCACTGTCCGCCGGTCAGCCAAACTTCGGCTTACACCGGCTGCGCTCTGCCTGCGCTGACAGTAGACCTGGTTTCAGCTGGCGAGCTTTTAGTGCACCTTCAGCGAAGCCTTTTGGCACGAAACTGTCACTGTGCCAAGCTGGATCTGTCGACACCTCCCCCTGCTGCGCCGCCACACCCATCTCAGCGCACCTCGGTCTGCCAAACTACCAAACTGAGCTCGCCTCGGGTTGCACTGCTCGAAACTAGCTCTGTGCGGGGTTCGCCACCCTGCGCCACCCTGCGCTGCACCGGGAAACTAGAGCCCCTAATGTGCAAAACCAATTATCAGTTCATTAATATACATTAAATATACATTTTTGCAGACTTTTTTTTTCCAGATAAAACAATATAAAAGGTAGTTTAAACAAGCTCTGCCTTGACCAGCTACAACAGTAAAACCTGCTTACACATAAAAATTACACAATAAGTCAAATCAAGTCAATTTTATTTATATAGCCCAATATTACAAATCTCAGTTTGCCCCAGAAGGCTTTACAACCTGTAGAGCACCCTCTCTCCCTATACCCTTGATTCAGAAAAAGAAAATCTTCCCCAAAAAACCTTTAACAGACAGACAGAACCTGAGCCACATGACCTCCTGTCCACCATGGAGACCTGGAGAGAAGTCACACTACACAATAACAATCCAATAATGTGCTGGTATATGCAGTAACAATCACTCACAGGGGCCATTTACTTTTTGTTACTTTAAGTACATTTTGCTAATAATACCAGAGATATTGGATAAAGGAGATACCCCACCGTAGGCTTATCCAATGTTAAGAAAACGGTTACTCTTCCTGTCTCCTAAGTGGGCGTGGTTAGCTCTCCCTCCAATCAGAGCCTGTTCTACCCTCAACCCCCCCCTTCCCCACCACCGTATTGAACAGAGGCTCTGTGGATGTCTGTGTATGCGGATTGAGAAGCAGGTGGAATGAAAATACATTCTTCCTACTATTGCAGCCTATTGCTGCACAAAGCTTGGGCATTTTTTATTTATTACTAGCGGTAAATAACTGTTTGTAAGCTAACTGTGATTTTACCGCCTGTTTATCAAGATCACAAGATCTCGTGAGAACTTGTTTTCTGAGACGGACAGGGCTCAAACAAAGTTAATTTTCTCTTGATCTGTGCGGATGAAAAATGAAGCTTTAGTGTCAGAATATTGGTAAGATGTGTGGCTTGTGGAAAACGAACCCAATATTTACTTTAGTGACTATAGGGCGAAAGAATTGACCATAAATTGTGATCACGTTCATTTTCCTCATTGACGACAATACATTCAAAGCTGCCGCAAGTCTCCTACGGGGGCGTGGCGCTGATGTCACTGAATCAGGAAGTGAGCTGAGTGGGGTATCTCTCTTTATCCACTATCTCTGATAATACTAAGATAAATAAATAATCTGAATACTAATTCTGTCTCTGCTCCTGCTTGAGTGTAACTGCGGTGCCTGACTTAATTGTTAATATTATTGCTTTTAGTAGTAGCATTAGTTTTCCATCCATCCTTTTTCTAACCGCTTATCCTCTTGAAGGTCGTTGGGGGGCTGGAGCCTATCTCAGCTGACATTGGGCAAGAGGCGGGGTACACCCTGGACAGGTCACCAGACTATCGCAGGGTTGACAGTAGAGACAGACAACCATTCACACTCACATTCAGTACACGGACAGACAATTTAGAGTCATCAATTAACCTATCCCCAATCTGCATGTCTTTGGACTGTGGGAGGACGCCGGAGTACCCGGAGAAAACCCACGCTGACACGGGGAGAACATGCAAACTCCACACAGAAGGGCTCCCACACCCGGGATTGAACCAGGAACTCTCTTGCTGTGAGGCAACAGTGATAACCACTACAACACCGTGCCGCCTAGCATTGGCTTTATTTATTTAAATTTAAATTCCCGTTCCAGTCCCACAAAAAGGAGCTGTCACAGAAAAACTGTACGTCATTAATAAAAAAAAAAAAAAAACTTTAACAAGGGAAAAAATGATAGAAACCTCAGAAGGAGCAACTGAGGAGGGATCCACCTTCTAGGACGGACAGATGTGTACAGAACAGATCAACGTGATAACATGACAGTAATCCCTATAACAAAATGATACATTCAGATAGAGAGAGAGAAAGATGCACAGCAACAACACTGAGTGGGTTTACATGGACAGTTTAATTCCCTTTTCATTTGGAATGAAAGTTCATTCCTATTAAAAGTGATCTTGTAAACACCTAATTCGGAATGAAAATGGCCAATGCGATTGAAAATTCATTCCGATGTAAGGGGCTGGAATATTCCGTTTCTAATTCCGAATGAAAGACTTTCTCGCACTTGTATACACTCATTCCTCTTTAAGTTCATTCCGGTCTTTCTGCGCATGCTCGTTTGCTTGCCCTTCTGGTGCGATGATGTATATAGTGCGCGCACGTGACAAGATGGCAGCACGGTCTTCTATCTCCCTTCTTCGACCTTCTACCTACCTTCTCCTCCTCAACAGACGAAGCATTAGCAGAACAAGGTTGTTGTCGTACTGCTGCTTCAAGAATTTAAGCAAAACAAGCCTGAAAAGGCACTAAGAACGGCGTTGTCAAGCATCTTGTTATCCGGAATGAGGACTACAGTGTTTTCTTCCGGTAAACATAAACACATAACAGCCACCCCGCCCCCTATCCAATCAGAAACCTTCCCTGCCCCAAACCTTGCGCGGACCTGAATAAAGGCGATTAAAAGGCGATTAAACTGATCTCCTGTGTAAACCTTCATTCAGAATAAATATTTCCCATGTAAACTAACTGGAAAAACTTTAATTCTGAATCTTTTCATTCAGATTTATTTCATTCCAAATGAGAAGCCATCATGTAACCACACCCAATAACAACTATAACAATAATAATAATAATAATAATAACAACAAAAATAATAGTTTATGACAGTATATGTAAGTATATATCAATATATGAAAGCATATGTATGTGCTAATAATAATTTGCTTCTTTTTTTATTTTATTTTTTTTTGCTCAAAATGTGATATTCATTTATGATAACAATTGTTTTGGGCCAAAAATGACCTCACACAATACATTAAAACCTATAATTACCTCAGGCAGGCTAAAATAATTATTAACAATCTATTAACAATCCATTAACAGTAAATCCTATTTTTTACATTTCTTCCTACTACACCACATACTTTGACTTTAATGCTAAGTGAATACAACACACAGTAGTCACACACAGGCACAAGAAGATGGAGGAGACAGTGACAACATTCTGAGTTTTACAAGCAGCATCTATTTTCCTAAAATCTGCAGAGGCAGGCACAGATTCCATATGGGCCTGATAATAATCATAGCAAAAGAGCAGGCATCAGACAGGACCACAGCAGCAGTGCAACCACGACCCATGATCCAGGCGCAACTGCGATCCGAGGGAACCTGCGAGACAGTGGAGCACAAAGACTCCGGTGGAGATGCTGAGTTAGTGAGATGCAGTAACAGGACATGCATGTTAACAAATGAAGAGAGAGAGAGGGACAGAAGGGGCTCAGTGTAACATAGGCAGTCCCCTGGCAGACTAGGCCTACATCAGCCTAACTAGGGGCTGGTCCAATGCAAGCCTGAGCCAGCCCAAATTATAAGTGTTCATCAAAAAGCAAGGTCTTAAGTGTACTCTTAAATTTGGCACAGCATTGCGATTTTACTTGATATAGGCCTACATAAAATGATGTGTGTGCTCACACTCACAGATACATATTTCCATAGTCTGTGGAAACAAACTAAGAGCTGTTGGCTTCACATTGCTAGCTTAATATTGTTATTATGATTCCTGTCCTGCCCACTCCCAGGACTTTTTTTCCTGTACCGTCTCAATCATGTGATGAATGGTGAAGTTGACTACCATTCTGCGGGAATCCCACATGAATCTGAACCACAGAATTCCTGAAAATATTTCAGCCGCTACCCCAGACTGATGATTTAGACACAGATATATGCACATGCACATACACACAGACATGTACACATAGGGCTTTTCCATTAGCACTTATGGCCAAGCTAAGTCAAACGTTGCATTTCTGTTGTTAGTTTAAACATGCCAAGCCGTGATATGCCACGCCTGAAATGGACCCTCCCTGGAGTAGGGCCAAAAGTGCGACCTGGTTTTCTGATTAGATGTACTTGCCTGGAAGACACTTGTCTTCCCGGGGTTGTTCTGTTTTGTCTTTTGTGTTGCAAAAAGAAAAAAAAAGAGTTAACCCCTCTTTGACATTGATAACAAAAACTGAAAATTTTAGACTTCATTAAAGACTTTTTAGCAGAACATTTGTATTGGATTGCATTAGATCAGGGCTAAGAACCAGGATCGTGAGAAAATCCCACAGAAGATCTTTTGCATCTTACAGTTGACATGACCTTGTTGTCCTTACTGAACCTAATGATGACATGCTCAAGAGTGAAACCAAGAAACAAGATCAAATCAACTCATCTGTGTCTCCTTAACTCTTCCACATCCTCCAGGGAGAAGACAGAAAACACAACCAGGAAGCCCAGTCAGTGTTTTCACAGACAAATGTCAGCAGAGCACCACGCAGGGCTTCAGGCCCATATAATTAGCAATATCAGAGAACACACACCATATACTTAAGCAGACCAGTGACGAGACAGGAATAGCCCTTCCAAGTGCTCTTTCATGAGTAAATAAGGGTTTAAGGGAAGCCAGACGTCACAGTACAACACAGCTTAGAACTGGGCTGGCCATGCCACGCCCGAACCCACTGGAAGTGGGGGGAGATATCTGTCCCTTAGGAGGAGCACCACTGCTGTTTGCTAGTGCTTTGCAAGAATGTAGATGAGAAAATGTGGTGTTAAAATGTAAAAAAAAACAACCACAGCATTAAATGTCAAGTGAATGTTGAGTAAATCTTTTAAGTACTAAAAAACACAGTTAGGGTCATATTTGCCCTTTTTCTTCTTCTAGCCTGCTCTGAATGATTGGAGAGGGACAGGGCGTTTTATTTTAAAATCCAGCTTGATTTGGTGGTTGGTCTGATATATGTTTGTACTGTAACCATGGAAGAGATACCCACTGCATTCAATTAAACTGTTTGTTTGCGAGTGGTTTGTTTTGCTTAGCTGTCACCAAATTAGCTGAAAATCTGTATTCCAGCAATGACTGTGATTCTGACCGAGCCATGGAACCACCACAGAGGCTTTTTACTGCAGTCAGTAGAGTGTAGTGGATGAAACAAGTCAACAGACTGCTTAAATTCATGACACTTTTGCTACAGTCATGGTTGGACAAAGGATGGTGATACATTTTAATTCATCTGTACATATATACTTGAATATTCATGGTCGCCAGAGGTTGATTTGCAACCATAAATTAAAAGATGAAGTTATTCAGCCCTATTGTGTATGCATCTACCTATTTACTAATAGATAGATAGATAGATACATAGATACATAGATAGATACATAGATACATAGATAGATAGATCGATATATATCATAGATCTAATATGTAGATGCTGCTGATGACTTAGGAGGAGGAGGTGTCGATATATACAGAGCCTCCTAGTTGATGTTGCTAAACCCTGCCTACAGATCAATAAATGATGATTACTGATAAACTGTAAGGGAAAAATATTTTTGGAGTCAGGTTGAATTCATGGGAGTTAGACTTTAAAAATAAACCCCTCACCTTCAGCATAAAAGCTACAGGAAGTTAACAGTTTTTTTAACAATCCCCTGATTTGCGTAGAAGCATTTCCTGAAACTCTAACCTCATTCTCCAAACTCTTTAGTGCAATCTCCAAAAGAGCTTTCTCATAACACTATACCCACTGTGCAAAAAAGCCTATAACACTCAAAATGATAACTGCATGAATCAACATACAGTCAGTCAATATCTACAGTGGTCTCAACGAATGTATTGCCCCTTCTGATCATTGCATAAACCTCAACACTGAAAACTCAAAGCATTTACATCATAACTGGATAAACTGAACATACAGTTTTGCTGTCAATACACAGATTTCCTGAACACAAAAGTATGAAAAAGAAATTGTTTAGTCATGTTGGCTGCCTTTTCAAATGATTACCCTGTACATTGCTGTGTCTTGCTGTGAACAGGTGCCAGGATGAGTGTCCAATCGGTACTTATGGTGCTGGCTGTGCAAAGACGTGTCGTTGTAAGAACAACAGCAAGTGCTACCACACCAACGGAATGTGTTTGTGTGAGCCAGGATACACAGGGGAAACGTGTGATGCCCGACTGTGTCCTGAAGGACACTATGGCCTCCGGTGTGATAGGAAGTGTCCATGCTACGCCCAGAACACACACAGGTATGCAGTAGATCCTGTTCAAACGCCATCTTGCATGTGTAGTATATGCAGTCAATTTAAAGTTTCCAAATTTTCCAGGTTTCCACATCTTGAAAAACAGAGTAAATGTTTTAGTCAGTCAGCCACCTGAAATATTCCAAATTATTACTCTGAGTGTTTAAATCTGTATCTTTCAAATTCAAGTGTTAGCAGGTGTCAGGAAGAAGTATTCACGTGTTGTCTGTGTATGTTTGTCAGGGTGATGGTTGATGCTGTAGACAGCTGACTGTTGTGGCCCAGTAGTCAGTGGTCAGTTAGGCTGGCACAGCTGGCGGCTGCATGTGTCTACACAGCTGTTCTGCTGCTCCTCAATGGGACTGCTGTATCAGGTGGGCCAGCTGTCACTAGTACAGGCAGGTTCCACACGGCAGATATTCCCCACCCTGCTGGCATGGAGTGAATTTCATGGAGACTTTCAATTTATCAGTATCGGTCACCTTTGCTTCAGTTTTGTATCAGGATCAGTAGAACCTGAGGTATATTTGCTTTTAAACCATACACTCACATAGACAACCATTGTGAATATATTTGTTCACATGCTTGTCTGTGCACTCTGCATGTTACTGAAGGATTACCTAGAGTGCACACTGGAGACCTCAGGCCGTATAGAACTACGATTTGCCTGATGTAAATAATAAACATTGTGATGCATTTTTCTGCATCAAATTTCATATTGGATATGTATATNTTATAGGCTTTTCACTAGAATGTGAGTCTGAGTGAATCTGAGTTTCATGTTTACATTGTGGTTCAGTTTTTTTATTCATATGTTTTTTTGTTTAAACTTTTTAACTGATTATTTATTTATTTATTTATTTATTCATTTTCATTTAATTTTCTTATTTAAAGCAATGTACAAAAACACTTGGCTTGGCTTGCATAGCAAAATGTATAAAAATAATGGATGTAGCCACTGTGATGTCACCCATCGAATTTGGGACTGTTTTGAAGCTTCAAGTTTAGCATTTTGGCTGTTGCCATCTTGAATTTTTGGAGCCAGAAGTGACCATATGTGGACAAGAGGGTGGAGCTGGAGACAGCCTGACATTTAAAGCGACATAATGAAGGGGAAATTAGCATGCCATAATAGTGTATATATATATATATATATATAATTTAAAAAAATGTCTCTATTCTGCTTCACCCAAAATAACTTAACTTTCAGTGACAGAAAAATCCCCCCCCCCCCTTTCTTTGTTTGCTCCATGTTCGCAAGTCGACAGGATGCACCTATCCATAGTAATTATTACCTCCATATATGGTGATCACTGACTATTCATGAGCGGGGATGTATGCTAATTGCTGACAAGCAGGAGCACGCTTTCAATTTACGATTGATTGGCATTCATGACCATGCACAGTTTTCTTAAGCATTCATGAATACGGTGTAGGTTTTAGTACCAAGGTTTTTTATGTGCAAATCTACTTACATTACTAACATTTCATGAATGAGACCGAAAGAGTGTAGCAAAAGCATAAAAGTTAGCATGGCTAGATAATTCAATTTTCAATTCAATTTTAATTAAAAAACCCAGTATCACAAATCACAATTTGCCTCACAGGGCTTTACAGTATACGACATCCCTCTGTCCTTAGACCCTCACAGCGGATAAGGAAAACCTCCCCAAAAAAAAAACCTTAAATAGGGTCAGTAATGAATGAAATTAAGCAAACATATAGCTTTGGGTCCCAGTTCTGCTCTAAAATTTGACATTACCAGCCAGTTCATTCAGGTCTGAGAGATGTGGGTATGGTCCGTTTCTTTCTCTCAATTTGAGTTTCTGGCTAGAACTTTTTGTTTAGTGTTCTAAATCTGAACAACGTACTATCCCAGTTAAACACACATTAATCATTCTTTTTTCACCAAGTTGTTGTTTTTCCCCACTATAGGCCTAAAGGACTGAAATGATGGGCCCCTAAGCATGTGTGCTTTAAAGGCCCCGCATCCTACATAAACCTTCTTCCTTTCTTTGTTGTGACATCCTATATGTGAAGATGGTTTTGTCAAAAGTGTAAAGGAGGACATTTTACCTGAGCTGGTATCTGAGAACTGAGGTTACCAGCTAATAAAAATAATTTCAGCAACAACTGTAATTAAAGTAATTAAAATCATTATACCCGGTGAAGTCTGGCTTTCATATATATATATATAAAAAAAAACTAAAAAATAGATAAGTTGCTCACTGCTGAAAATGTGGCCCATTGACATTGTCTGGCTTTATAATCCGGCCCAATTGATTTTGTAATTGAATAGCCCTGGTATAGATCTTCTGTGCTGTCAGGGGGACAGTGGGTGTGAAGCATCCATGTTTTCACAGAGATGAATTTAACTATAAGAGAAACTTGACTGGTGCATGGAGGCATACAACTACAGGGTGGTAATTCTACTTATTAGTTTGTACTGTTAACAATGCTGTTGGAATTCATGATTGTTTACTTGCCGCAGAAAGCCATTGATTCAGGCTGACATAAGGCAGCATGTGTTGTTTTGTGTGCTGCATTAAAATGGACTGGAAACTGTGCCCAACGGGCACACAATAGCACTGTGCCAGTCAGGTTTTGTGCACCCACTGAGAACAGGCAGAAACTATTTGACTAGATGTGGTTGGACAACAAGTCATACAAACGTGTATTTCAAGCATACAAAAGCCTTTAGGCCATAACCCTGGCAGGTCACAGTTAGGATCCCTAAATGTGAGACGCAGTAATAGACCTACAGTATGAGCAAAAACTAAACTAGGATTATATACAATCTCTAACTCTGGTATGTTCCTCTCTTGTCTCCAGCTGCCACCCAATGTCAGGAGAGTGTACATGTCAGCCTGGCTGGTCAGGCCTCTACTGCAATGAGACGTGTACCCCAGGATTTTATGGCGAGTCCTGCCAGCAGGTGTGCCAGTGCCAGAACGGTGCTGACTGCCACAGTGTGACTGGAGAGTGTATCTGTGCTCCAGGCTTCATGGTAAAAACCCATTTTTGTCATGTCAGAATGTCAATGAATGTGTAAGGTCACAAATCATGTGAATCCATTTGGATTATGTATCATCCAGTATGTATGATACATAATGTTGTCATAGGCTCATCATCCAGCTCAAAGCCCTTGGCAAAAATCTGATTTGTGAATCTGGATATTGAAATAAAATTGACTGAACTCAACTCATCTGACTGAATCATAGCCAGCAAACCAAGGCCAGAGATTTCAAGGAACTGAAATCATCACAGTGAAACAGTGAAAATCATGATAAAGGAGAATATACAATGCATTTCACTCTCAGCCAATCGCACAGGTAACACTTCTAGTCCTCCTCTGGACCTGAAAATACTATTTTGGAATTTCACTTCAACTAATGGTTCAACATTTTGGAAAATACAGGTATTAGCTTTCTCTTTGAGACTTAGATAAGAATATCTGTATCAATCTCGTGTCTGTGTGTTAAGTACAGAGCTGGAGTTTGGATGTGGTTGGCCTAGCTTAGCATTAAGACTAGAAGCAGGGGGAAACAGCAACTGTCCAAAGTTAGAAATACACCTCTAAAGCTAGAAAATGAAACATAGGAATAGAAGTTTGTAGTTTTAGGGGGAGTCACATGCTGGAAGTATTTCTCAACAAACAACTATTTATCCATCCAACCAGTGTATCCAGCTATGGTATGAGTTGACAGTGTAGGAGCAATACCTTTAGAAAATGTTTGCAAGGAGGAAAGCGACTAATCAAATTAATAACTCTGGAAACCAATTATTAATTCATCAGTACACTTATCAATAATGAATCAGTCTCAGTATCTGGGTTATGAATTGTGTATACAGTGATCTTAGTTCCTGCTAAAACGAAATATTCACAGACTATGACTTGGTGATAAATGAAGATTTATTTAGGGCTAAATGTTTTAACAACTGAGTAAATTAATAATAAATGAGGATGATATGAAATAACACAAAATCAACAGTATGTATAGATGGATTAAGACAAGAGGTAACACTTTTGTCAGTTAGCTATTTAGTTTGGTGATACTGAGAGAGAGTATGTGACTATAGATACATTGGGGACGCAGGGATGCACAAAATTCTTTACCTAACGAAACCTAAATTAAGATCAGAGTAACTAAGTCTCCTATTCGACATCAACTCTTATCACAACACAGCGGCTGCATCAGGTGAGGGGGATTTAGCCTACTTTGAGAAGAGATGACTCAGTCGGATGTTTTTTGGGGACCCCGGACTGGCGCTGGCAACTCCCGGCTTCACTTCACAGCCCTCCAGCAGGGTGATACAAACTGGAACGCAGCAGTGAGGGGTGGTGGAGCCTGAAGGCGGTGTCCTTTAGGTGGTCTTCACACGTCGGTGATTTAAGGCGGCAGAAAGTCTCTTGATTTGGCCAAAGAGCTCCTGCTCTGCGGACACTTGGACAAGTGGCTGACAGCCGCTGGATCTGATGAATCTTTGATGGAGTTGCAGGCCGAACAGAAACTCATCTATTTAGCTATGGCTCCTCACTCCTCCTCAAAGTTGAAAACAATCACGTCGGCCGTTCCATATTATTATCAAAGTCATTATCAACGTGTAGAAAAAAAAATGTTACAATTGGCTGGCTTCGTTGCTTCAGGTATAATATTACTGAAAGCACAGACAAAAAGAAAGAAACCTCAGGACAGACAAACAGTCCTGGATGTGTCAAGCAAAATTTAAAAGTTCAAAATAATTCTGATCGTAAGAAAAGAAAGAGTTACGCAGGAACCAAGTTTAAGAGTGTAATGGGTTCAGGCATAAAGAGTATAACTAGAAGTAGGAACAGCAACAGAAAGAAAAAGAGAAAGTAAAAAGTAAAGTAAAAAGAAAGAGAGGAAAGTGCAGAGATGTGCTGAGCTCAATAGTTTTATCCCACCATCTTGAGAGGGCGTGTCCGAATTTAGACGTTATTTTATTTCAGAGGAAACTTAATGAACTTTAACAAAACTTTATTTGTGAAATTATATAGGCTACTTTAACATCTTAGATGTGATAGACGCATACTCTTCCCATTATGGTCAAAATTGGCTCTTAACATCAAAATTAAATTTGTATATTTATTATTCCTCATATATCAGCGGAACACAAGCATAAATGATTCGTGCACAAACACTACAAACTAGGTTTGTAGATCCTGTGGACGCCGCCATTGTTGTTGCCGGCTTGTCAGTGTTGCCAGATCTTGGGAGAGAAACAAGCAACCGGGGCTATGGAAACAAGCCCAAAAGAAGGGACTTTCATGCATTTAAATAACTTCTTAGACAGATATAGAGGAAGGTGATGTTTAGAGAGCAAGCCCAAATAAGCAACTCCACTTTAGAAACAAGCCCAGAGTCGCGGCTAATAAGCGGACCTGGCAAGTGGCAACCCTGCGGCTTGTCCTCCTCACATTTCTTCTGTCCTCCTGCGTGCTGACGTGGATGTATCCCGCCTCTCATTGGCTGATGCTCTTTGTCAGTGTGTCAGCCTTCTCCAGTTTTCTAGCATACTAGATATCCAGTCCCAGTCACAGACTAGGGGGTGACTTGCTAATAGATTTGTTCACACAATAGGATTCGTCGTGGCAGATTATCTGCCGACTCACCTCCGACCCAAGGTGGCTCTCAAGATCCTCTGCGACGTCAAAATCGCGGTGAAAATCACGTAATGTGAACTAGTCTTTAGTCTCTGCTCAGGAATGCATACTGAATTTACAATCCTCACATCTGTTCAATTTTTCCTCTTCACCAGGTTGTGAATTAGATGGTGTGGTTGACAAGAGGGGAGAGGATGTGGTGAACTTAAAAGCATAGTCAATGACCCTGCATGGCCGTGTTGTCACAAGCTGAATTCCTTTAAGATGTTGATCGACATAGGGAACCTGGAGGGGTCTCAAGTGACACCTTTACGCCAGGATGGCTGGTGGGAGAGTTTCTCAAGACTGAGGTGAGGCCGGGGGCAGAGACGTAAACATTTGACCCTCAGGGTGGCCCATCTCATTTGTCTGTTTACTTACAATCCAGGTTCTGGAGGAGTTTAGAATGCTGTTGTTCCGGGTCCACGTCATTGGTTCGACAGCCCATTAGTCCGACTGTCCGCAGTGCTGAACGGCTCGCGGCGGGCGTATGGTGCGCCGCGACCGGCTTGAGGCGGAGCAGGCTCACGGCTTATGTGTTTGTCACTTTCTTTTTCATTTTAACCCACACCATGATCCTTTCCTGACCCTAACCAAGTGGTTTTTGTGCCTAAACCTAACCAGACCTTAACCACAGGGCATCATGATGATTTTGGAACAGACTTTGGAACAATGAATTTAATATGGTCGGAACAATGGGATGTCGAACCAATGGGCTGTCGAACCAATGGGCAGTTCCCATTGTTCCTACAACAGATATGGTCTGTGAGTGTTTGATTTTAGACTGTAGACAAGAAGGTACCACCAACAGTCAGTATGTTTACATGACATTAGAGAAAATCGATTTATTGTATTAGTATGACTAATAGCTCTAGCTGTACTTAACTGTCCATGTAGAAGTATTGATTGTCATGTTAAGACTTCAGGAAGTTGAACAATAAAAGATACAGTGCGGTAGTCAGTGAGCTTTACAGTACATGTGCTGGTAGGTGTGTTTTTTAACTTGGGCAAAGCCAGGCTAGCTGTTTTCCCTCGGCTTTCAGTCTTTATGCTAAGCTAGGCTAACAATGACCAGACTCCAGCTCCATACTTAACACAGACAGACAGACAGACAGACAGACAGACAGGAAGCAAATAAGCCGGTTTCCCAGAATGTGAAATTATTCCTTTAACTTTTAACTTTCATTTTATTATTGAAACAGTATCATCAAACCTCTTGCAGCCATAATGAACCCATCCCAAAGACAATAAGTTAGGACATATCACATTTAATAGAAGAGGCTACTTTTGCCAATAGAAGTTCAGTGAGACCTGGAGCAGACTTAGGTTTTAAGTATCCATAGCTTCACATCAGCTCATGTTCACACCACACACAACCACAACCACTTCCAAGTATGATGTCAGGCCTAGGAGACAAATCCTTATTGTTTCCACATGAACTGTATCTTTTCAAAGCACTTTCATGGCCCTCACAGTAATAGAAGTGTTTATCAGGGAAAACATCAGGACCCCATGGGAAAATCAGCAAAGCAGAGGTCTTAAACAAGAATAATGACAAAGAACAGAGTTCTTATTTTGGCTGCTTGATACATGCTCTTGATGCACTGTTTTTCCAACAGAATTAAAGTTTAACAGTTGGTTAATATGAGCATACAGTACCTCACTGTCCATCTCTGCTGATGTTTGGGACAAGATATACCATATGCAGCTGTGTCACACATCTACTACACACATCCGATGTCAGCTGGAGAATGTGTTGTCACAAAACTTGTCCTATGACAACAAAACAATGAAGAAAAATGGGGAAAGGACTGCAGTGATGCACTTGAGGGTGGAACTCAGTTGAATACAGCAGATATCTGATCATGTCTCTTCGGTGCTGCTGATGGTGGAGCTGTACATTTAAAGGATGCGTGATGTCCTCACTGCTTCTTCTAACTATTTATCCCCTGTAATGAAATTCTCAGGGTCCCAACTGTTCAGTCCCCTGTCCAGCAGGAACACATGGAGTGGAGTGCGCATCCATCTGTAACTGTAAGAACAAAGCTCAGTGTTCACCTGTGGACGGATCCTGCACCTGTAAACCAGGTGAGCTGAGGAGTAGAAGGAGAGGGAGGAGGAGAGGAGAGAGGAGGAGAGGAAAGATAAGAGGAAGGAGGCAAAAAGAGAGGGGGGGATGAAAGGAAGGAAGCGAAAACATTATAGCACAGGGCTGGAGTCAGACTCATTTTCAGCCCTGGAGTTTCATGCCTCAGACCAGCCCACTTTAGATCATGACCTATTATAACCTTACATGTTAAGTCTACAATAGTGCACTATTCTCTAAAGCCTTGTAATTCAGTGTATTTTTCTAGAATATTTCCAATTAAGTGCAAGTAAGCGTTGCTTCACAATGTAGATTTATTTCAACATGAGTGAGGTGCCACGGGGACTTTGGCGTTTTCCGTCCACTCTTCTGATGAGGAGGCATGTCGGTGGTCGATTCCACAAATCATTGGAGACGTGCGTGTAATCAGACCACCGCTGCAGAGCACCGTGGAGCCGGTGTGTCCACCTCACCAATTCAGCTGCTGCATAGACTTCACGTTCATCCGTGCGCTGTGTTAATAAGGAGGCGTGTCGGTAAACGACTCCAAAATTCATTGCCGGCGATGGCAAGCCGTTTTAACATTTAATCGCTAAGTTTGACTATTCGGAATTACCATTATAGATATCAACAACACCATTTTGACTAGTCGTAATGTCATTGTGACTAGTATGAATTTTTATTGAAGATATCTATAACGTCATTCTGACTAGTCAAAACTACAGTTACAGATATCTGTAATTAGATTTTGACTAGTCAAAACTCTAATTTAAGATATGTGTAATCCAGTTTTGACTTGTAAGATTCAAACTACTTTTGCCATTCATGTGTATGGGGTTTGTCATTATAGATATCTTCAGTGTAGTTGCGGATATCTGCAACTGAATTGGAGATATCTATAATTACAGTTTGAGATATCTACAATTTAATTTTGACTAGTCATAATTCAAGTTCAAGATATCTACAACTTCATTCTGACTATCTGAAACTTAATTCAACATTCGACATGGATAGAAACTGTTGTTAATGTGCAACTTAAGTGATTCGCAAAGTCATACAACAGTGTCAGCATTCTTTTAGAGAAACTGTTCTAGATGTATTTTTATCATTGTGTTACATGGTTTTGGCAATGGTTTTGATGCTAGCTACTGTTAATGGTAACTAAGGTAGGCCTACATGTGTGTGTTTGAATGTTAATAACCTTGTTTAATCAGGGTGGCACGGGGTGGACTGCTCTATCAACTGTCCCAGTGGTACCTGGGGTCTGGGCTGTAACCTCACCTGCATGTGTGGCAACGGAGGAGCATGTAATGCCCTGAATGGTCACTGTACCTGTGCTCCAGGCTGGAGAGGAGACAGGTGTGAACTCCGCTGCCAGGTGAGAGGACAGGGATGCTTTTAGATATTTACATGGATAAAGCCCCTAATTTTTCTTAATTGTTATTGTTTTTGTTTGCTTTTTGTTTTATTGTGTTTTAGAAAGTGCATGTTCTTTTCTCAGATGTGTTCAATATTATTTCTGTTGGCAGGTCAGTGGGAAAATTACAGCTCTAGACCACTGAAAATCACTTTTCCTTAAAAGACCCAGTGGATGTTTTCATATGTCTTAACATGACAAATCTAGCCAGGCCTCACAGTAATGCAAGAAACTGATACAAACTCAATGCAGCAATACCAGTGCAAAGTCTAGAGAATCTTTTGTTACAGTGGCTGAATTCAGTATTAATAGTATATATTGTTTGTTTGCTTTTTGTTTTGTTATGTACATAGTTATTTTTTTACCAAAACCACAATCCTTCCCCATACTTAACTAAGTACTTTTTTTCTTGTTCCCTAAACCTAACCAAACTGCAACAATTTAAAAACATTAACCACAATAACAATGTGTTTGAAACTGCAACTGTTAAAGACTTTGCATTTACATTGATTTTGCTTTGCCAGCATTGACTTTAGTGCCCAGCAGCATGTGATGGTTAAGAGGTTGTGTCCATTTCATGTATTTCAGTGAGACTGCGTCAACAGATAAGGATTTTGACATAACAACCAAATATTTTTCAGACTATGTAGTAGTTGGAGATGTGATTTGGTATGTGCAGTTATAAACTAAAAATGTTAATGTTGAATTAACACAAATAGTTAAAATGAAAACAATTCATGTAATATCAAATTAATGAATGAATTAATGTATTTTTTTTGTCTGGACATTTACATGAGCCATCCCTTGTAGGATTATTGAGACTCATTAACCAGTAACACACCAAACATCCTGGTATATCAACCCACCATCATCCAGCACCACACAAATACCATCCAAACATGAACACAAACATTATCAGGCAAAAAGAAAGACATACCCACAAACACTGCATTGAGAGATTTCCCATGACAAAAAATAAATACAAAGCACAAGCACAGCCCCTTGAGTACAAGACAAAATACATAATACACAGACACATAAATGGATCCAAACAGGACAAAATTGAAATTTACATGAATCAGTGCCAAACACTATTTGTTTCCATTTTCAATCCAGTAGTCCAAACAGAGTCAGAGAAGTCGTCATAGTATACTTTTTTCCTCCTACCCCATGCCCTTAAAGATTCTCAGAAAATGCACATATAAACATTATTAAAAAGACATTTAATTAAAGCACCATCCTCAAAATCATGATATAAAGGACAGTATAGAATAAAATTATACTAATTTTCCACCTTATTCACCTCACAATATTCTTTTGTCTTCAATTACACCTCTGTATCTTCCAGTTTCAATACACAGTGATAATATACCACTGTGAACACTCTCTCAAGAGCACTCTTAGCTGTGTATAGAGTGATCATTGACTTTTAAGCAAGTTGTACTTATCATATTTTTCACATTTGCAGTCTTTCTTAAATAAACAGAGAGCTTATTTGCCTTTTCAAAATAATTTCCTTCAAGGCCACATTCCTCTTGTAAATCAAATATTTCAGATGCCCATTCACCTCCGACAGACAGGTCCTAGGGAAACATTTCACTAGCTACCCTGTTGGTTGGTAAATCCAGCAGCCTGTTCCACAGGCTCACCATGCTGGCCTTCCATCTTACTTCACATGAGTCCCACCCCATGTCTCCAACAAATGCCAAAACAGGCATATTTATGAAGTTCCAAAAAGAATCGAAACAGCCCAATTCTGGACATGTTCATTTTTGTAACTTTTTGTAACCCCATATTCCTGACACACAATCTAAAACAGGACATACACATGTTTGATACAGCTTGGAATATGCAGAATATCCTATATCTCTCAGCATTTTTGTTTTTATCTGTAATACCTCCCAGTGTTGTACTTGCAGAGTCTGCTAGAACTGATGGGACATGCTTTCATCTAGAAAAAACCCCAAAACAAACAACATAAAACAACATACAACTTAAAATTACTCCTTTCTATACCTGGTTTTCAGAAATGGATAACTGTTTTTTGTTTGTTTTTGTTTTTTTCATTCATTCATTTGTTTTTGTGCATCACACTTTATCAGGATGAGAGCTGATCTTGTGGTTATTTTGAGGCCACAGCTTTTGGGGCTATATTTGAGCTCATACTGTGTAAACTGCCCTGTTAGAACATACGAAGCTGTGGGAAATTAAATAGGATTAAAAAGCATGAAAAGTTTCTCTCCGATGATGAAAAGCGTGCTGCATGTCATGTAAATGAAGCTTTTACTGAAGTTCATGTCTGTGATGGTTATTGTTGGTCCTCCTCAGGATGGCACATACGGTCTGGACTGTAAAGAACGCTGTGACTGCAGTCATGCTGATGGATGTCACCACTCTACTGGGCACTGCCGCTGTCTGGCTGGATGGACTGGTAACACCTTAACAATGTTCTCTTGGCTGATTTGTCTGCACATAGTCTGACAAGATATCTGAGCGTTACAGTGTACCATGAATATCATTACCTCCTATTTGGCTCATAGTGTAGGAGGGTCTTTCCTGGGTAATAATGTGATTATGTATGTTTGTGTTTGTAGGTATCCACTGTGACAGTGTGTGTGCAGAGGGCCGCTGGGGCCCAAACTGCTCCCTCCCCTGTAACTGTAAGAACGGAGCATCCTGCTCTCCAGATGAGGGAACGTGTGAGTGTGCTCCAGGATACAGAGGCACTACGTGTCAGAGGAGTAAGTCTCATCATCACACAGCTGATGCTCTTCTTTAAGGACAAATGAGTTTATTTAAAATTCTGTCTAACTGTAATAGTGTTGTCCATAATTCCTATTAGTAATAATAATGTTGTTCTCTGCAAGTTAATAGCTTAGATCTGAGATCTAGGAAATAAAATAAATCAGAAACATGAGCAGTCATATAGATTGGTCAAAACCTATTTGGAACAAAAACAAACCGTGAATTCTAAAGCTGTTGCTCAAACTTTCTGTTGTAAATATCACAGTTTACACAGCCACTTCCTGCTTTAACTTTGACCTACAGTGCTGTACTTGTTGTAGTTCACATGCACTTTTCCTGTACTATGAAGGATGATTAGTGACACTTTCCCTGTCAGTTTGACCTCCAAATACCATAGTTTAGATAATTTGGATGAACCGCTCGTGTTTCTGACCTATTGGATTTCATTGTGGTTATGTCGCCCTGTTCCATATCAACCTGTGGGCTGACAGTCTCTGACTCAGTCTCAACTCTAAGCGTTAAACGCCAGCCCAGTCACCAGAAATAAAAGCTGGTATTATACGTTTCTCTAAACCACTGATATGGTACATTGTATGTTATTATGTAGTGGATACGATAAAACTTAAAGCCTCTGGAAACCCAAATCCACAATAGCCTTCTAACTATGTAATTTAGGGTCTTATGTACATAATATTAAACATGTAAAACAATTAGAAATCAGTTTCCATCCAAATTCGAAATATCTGTCTTTTAAGTTTTTGTACATTCTTGAAATTGGGTTTGATTTGGCCGTGGTTATCTCTGAGATTTATTACGCAATAAATTCCAAACCAATCATAAATCATCAGTCAGTTGTCTCATCCCGCCCCCCAGTGGCAGCGCAACAAAACCTTTCTAGATCTCTTTGAGTCTGAGCCAACTCGTCTTTCTAGTCTTATGTTTAGAAAATACAGATCGTAAACTGGCTGAACCGCTCGGCTGCGACCCAGCGGAGGCTCTGCCTCCGGCGGGCTCCCTGCGGCACTCGAATCAGGTTGACCGGCTCCAGAGCCCGGACAATCCGAGCCTTTGCAGCTCGTGGAGCTGCAGGAAGAGGCGGCTTGTGAGTGGCCGGGCTTGCCCCCCGGGCCCGGTGCCGGTGTTGGCTCGCGGGGAGGGGACGTCATGTGCACCCTTCCTCACCCCTAACCCCAACCCCAAGCAGTTAGCTTTGCTACGCATAAACATATCCCCAGTCGCGGAGGTGATGCTGCGGGAAACAACACAGTTTTAGCCGGAGGGGAACATTATTCGAGGTGGGCAAATACTTCTACACAACTCCAGAGAGACGGCCGGCCGGCACCGGTCTCTCCCGCTTTGACGGTCGGTGTGTGTGTCAGAGTAAAGACATATTTAATCTATTAAGACTGGATGTGTTTGAATGAAAAAGGCTATTATCAGAAGAACGGAGCAGATTTATGTTTTCAGTGAAAACGTATCTCAATGAAGAAAGGCAAAGCGCTAGCCTCCCGTTGTCATTCATCTCAGCTAACAGCCGGGCTCCACCGGGCACGTCTGCAGCGCGAGTCCCGTAGCAGCTCGCCCCCCTGTTAATCAATTACAGCGGCTCCACCGGCAACGAGAGCGGCACGACAACTCTCTATTTTACGCCGCTCTTCTATTGTTTATCCGTGACACTGTGTCCGTGGCGGACATTTGAAAGCGAGTAGATGACAAACAGTACAGTAAACTTGTAGATAACTCAAATATATGTAATAACTTAGGTGGAAAATGCTTTAACATTTCATGCAGCCTACATGCAGCCTCTCGGCTCAGCAAACGGTAAACAACCCCGCTGGCTTCTCTACGTGTTGCTTCCGTACGCAGTCAGTGGAGCCCAAATGAATACGCCGCGACGCTACGCTGTATGTTTGCAGCCTGTGGAGCCCGGCCGTAACATTGCATGTAAAAGTTATGCTAACTATTCTACGAAGTAACATTAATATGAATCACGAAACATTTTGAAACTTACCATTCAGTGACCACCTGAAAGGAATCATTTTCAGCTTCTGCTTCGTCCTCTGAATCATTACAGGGCTCAAACATGTACGGCTGGATTAAATTTGTGGCAGCCATTGCTGAGCCAGGGAGATGTCAATCAAAACGAGGGAGCTGTCAATCAGTGTGTTATCTGCCACGCCCACTCTGTCCTGGCAAGTGGTCTAAACAGCAAAATGAGCTGTTTTTAAACCAGGTTTTCTAATAGTTATTAATGATTCAGGTTTTAACTTTTCAACAAAAATTGAGCATGCCGTTAGTTCAGGCAGGACATGATGTCAACCTTAGCTTACATCTCAGCCACATCAGCTGATCTCAAGCAGCCTTATCAACTGATGGATCAGCTGATTGATCACGATTCCTTTCTATGCAACCAGTTGGCAAATCTCATTCAGGGTGCCATATTTAAACTGCTTTGTCCTGCCTACTGTTGCTGCTTCCTCTGCAAGCCACTTTGCTCTCCGCCTCAGGCTTTGTGCATAGGCCTAGAAGTTGCCAACATTTAAAAGACTAACATTTTCTAAGAACTGGGCTGTTAACTCCACAAATAAGCTGGCAAAATCTCCAAAACTTGACAAAGAATAGCTTCTTCAAATCTGACAAATTGGCGACTGTTGAATGTTCCCTGGTTGGCATTAACCATCCAAACCTTTGTGTCACCTAAACAATCCAGGTGCAACTCAGGGGGAGTTTTGGGGAGTTGATGTGTGTTAACTCTGGATGGGTTATTATAAAACTTCAACAAAACAGTTTCTATAGCTAAGTTATCTCCTATATTAGGGTAAATAATACTGTATTTTTATTAAGAGATTTTCATGTAAATTATTTGTGCTGTTATGATTATAAAAAATGACATGTATTCAGTCACTTCTACACCAGCTTTGACACTGCTGTTACTTCTATTGAAATAGAGCTGAGTGAAATAAAAATTAACTCATCTTTTCTGCAGTCTGCTCTCCGGGTTACTTTGGTCACCGCTGCAGTCAGACCTGTCCACAGTGTGTCCACAGTAACGGACCGTGCCACCACGTCACAGGACAGTGTGACTGTCTGCCAGGCTTTAAGGGGGCGCTGTGCAACGAGGGTGAGTTGCCCTGCAGCACATTGTTTCTACTGTCTAACAAGGGCTATGGGGTTCGACCTCTTTGGGTTTTTAAAGGCTCATACAGGTGACAGCTTCTAAGAAAATACCTATGACTAAATTTCCCTGTAAAGGCTGTTCAATAAGCAACTGAATGTAAGGACAGCTGCTAGGATGCATATGTATATTGTATATGCTTGATTGGAGACACATCTGTGTCATTATGAGCCACACACAAGTTGTATTTCACTGCAGGACATTACACACTGTAAATGTTTGAATCAATCAGAGCAGATGGAACACATTACTCCACACAGTTGCTGCTTAACACGAGACCAATATTGAACATTAGTGTGAGATGATAATGTCACAGTGATCCTCATCAGCAACCAAGATCCCAGGACTCCAATTACAATCCAGTTACTCCGCACATTATATTTGAGATGAAAAAGTGAGGATACTTCTGCTGAACTGTGGTTGAATGATTAACACTCACATGTGTCTTTGGTGCAGTTTGTCCCAGTAGTCACTTTGGGAAGAACTGTGCTTGGAGCTGCAGCTGCACCAACAACGGCACCTGTAATCCCATCGACGGCTCCTGTCAGTGTTATCCAGGATGGATCGGTAGCGACTGCTCCCAGCGTACGTTCACTCAGTAAAATGATAAAGAAGATACATGATGATTATGATATATACATTCCAACGTAAAAAGAAAAGTTATTTGGAAAGGATGTTTAGCCCTGTACTGGTACGACTAAAGACTTTAGCACTGACTCAGCACTTTGTTGTGATTGTGTTGCAGCGTGTCCGCCTGGTCAGTGGGGACCCAACTGCATCCACACATGTAACTGTCACAACGGAGCCTACTGCAGTGCTTATGATGGAGAATGCAAGTGCACCCGAGGATGGACTGGCCTCTACTGCACACAACGTCAGTCATGGGCACACACACACACACACACACACACACACACACACACTTCCTGTTTATTACAGAGCATATTGAAAGTATATCGTGTGATGTTTGATGACTCTCTTACAGGCTGTCCTTTAGGTTTCTATGGGAAGGACTGTTTTCAGACCTGTCAGTGTAGGAATGGAGCTGACTGTGATCACATCACTGGACAGTGCACCTGTCGCACCGGCTTCATGGGACGCCACTGTGAACAAAGTATGTTACACTGACTTTCTTTCTTTCTTTCTTTCTTTCTTAGTCTTTTTTACTTTTTGTCTTTCTTTCAATTACAATTCAATTCAATTCAAATAGCTTTATTGGCAAGAACTAAGATACGCATTTAAATAAATGATAGTAATATGAATACAAGAAAAAAGTAATCATATTTTACATGTTATATACATTCATTAATTTCTTTCTTTCTCTGTCTTCTTTCTTTCTTATTTTCTTTCTTGCTTGCTTTCTTTCTTTCTTTTCTTTTTCTCTGTCTTCTATCTTTGTGTCTGTTTGTTTCCTTCTTTCTTTCTTAGTCTTCTTTCTTTTTTTCTTTCAGTCTTCCTTTGGTAAACTTTCAGTACCAACAAGTCATCTGTCAAACTCCTTTCATGTAAATTGCTGTGCACTGTGTTAAATAAAAATTAATCATTGTGCTGGCCTTGGTGAAGCACACTTTTGGATTCTTATTCCCTTGTTTATTTATTTATTTTTTTAATATTTGCCTCATGATGTCATTATACTGACCACCCCATCTCAACATGTCACTCTTCTCAGTGCTTACACTAACTGTGCTACAACCTAAACTGACATTTCTGTCAGTGCATGTAGTTCAAATGACTCCATCTACTGTCAGTGTGTATTCCAGCAGTCAACTCCTTTCAGCTCTAAAACTTGAACTTCACTTCAGTTTTAAACTTAAAAGTGTCAAGTACTCCTGCACAAATACATCTATTTCAAAATATAATAAAAAATAAATAATCAATAATAATAAAATAAAATAATAAATAAAAATGTGAAGACACTGAAACTAAAGCAGGTTCCTAAACATTTCTGCATATATATTGATACATTAAATAAAACTGAATTACTTTTGCCAGTCAAAATTGTTGTTGTGTAATCAGGATTAGTGACATCCTACTAAAGTTGGATTTAATTGGGGATTTTTTTCCTTATCTCCAGAGTGTCCTCCTGGTTCCTACGGTTATGGCTGTCGTCAGGTCTGTGACTGTCTAAATAACTCCACATGTGATCACATGACTGGTACATGTTACTGCAACCCAGGCTGGAAGGGAGCTCGCTGTGACCAAGGTGATGACACACCTCAATAAACACAGAATCAATTGATTTCTCATATCTGTTTCTGACTAAAATCAGATTCTTTTGGTTGTCTAATCACTGACAATCATCCCCTTTTAATAGCAGGAGAATTTACCTCATTCTATTTTTACAAATGGACTAATGGTTACTTAGAGCAAACAGCCTCTAAACTCCGGCACTACATTACCCCTCCTCCTGTCTGCAGCTGGTGTAGTGGTGGGCAGCCTTAACAGTTTGACCAGCGCAGCCATGCAGGTGGACACCTACCAGATTGGAACCATCGCAGGAATCATTGTCCTGGTGCTCCTGGTGCTCTTCCTCCTCCTCCTCTTCGTCATCTACAGGAAGAAGCAAAAGGGCAAAGAGCCTACCATGCCAGCTGTGACCTACACTCCTGCTATGAGGGTCACTGCTGATTACACCATTACAGGTACATTACAGGTTCATCCACTTCAAACTGCAACCAGCTCACTGACATGTACTGGTGCAGGCTTGTTAGGCAGGTCTTTCCTCATGTTGAGTCATGAAACTTTGCAGCCCAAGGATGAGGTGGCAGCCAACATCAAGTTCAAGACACCCATAGAAAAAAATGTCTTGATTGCTGTGTTGCTCTTAAACAGCTAAAAACAATTTTGAAAATTAACATGATAAAAGTACAACAGAAATACCCACTTATTTGTAATGCTAAATAGAGCATAGTCCTGCGCAGAACCATTTTTGAAAACCTGCACCCGTTCATACTGTACCCGTAAAGCTGAGGGCCAGAACTCACTCGTTACTCATCATTATGTCTAAGTCAAAGCTGCACCCATTAGTAAAAGTCTCGCCACCCAACCCACACCTGTGATAAAACACACACAGGCTACAGTCACTCACATTAAATTGGGTTCTCCATTCTTGAATTACAAATCTAGTGGACCAAAAGTCTCTTTCACTGGCTGCGCTCGATGCTGGGATGGTGAAAACATTCTGTGTAATCACTGCCAGGTTAGGAAACATTTTAGCATGCTCCTTCACCACCATAAAACCTCAAAAAAATCCTCCATGGGTGTCTTGAACTTGATGTTGGCTGCCACCTCATCCTTGGGCTGCAAAGTTTCATTGCTGGAGTTCTCCACATTTGTGAAGATTGTGACAAAGGGGTCAAAGGTTCAACTTGTGTCATTGATTTTCAAAATAAAATGAATTGCAGCTTGATAATCACACACACTGCACATCTTTTTATTTCTTTTACTCTGAAAAATAGAAATATATTTTTGTTCACACCCATTGCCCACCCACCTGTAGCTCATTTTTACCTGTGCCCATATATATATATATATATATATATATATATGAAGAGACATGAAGAGGACTGCTCATCAGCAAACACAAATGTAAACACTTGATTTTTGATCTGTACGACATCATAAATTGAGATGCTTGTTGGATCTCATTCTCTGAAAGCACTGATGAACTTCCTGGTAAGAGTTCCGTGTCACCTCATTTTTCAGATGCTCACCCACCAGCGTGTGAGACCCACCCCAGCAACTACTTCTCCAACCCCAGCTACCATACTCTGACCCAGTGCATCAGCCCCCCACATGTTAACAATGGTCCCTATGGAAAGGTATGGAAGTGGACTGCAGGGGTGTAAATATAAACAGTGATTCAACTTGCCACCTCAGAAATATGCCTATGTTCAAAGAAGAGCACACGTCAAAATAGAAATGCTGTTATCTGCTATATATGCCCTTAAGTAGGCAAACCGATCTCTGTCAAAGTTTGTTTTTTCTTTTGTAAAAAAGTCAGTAGCAATGTTCATTTTACAGAAACTATATAAACTATGAATAAATTATTTAAATAATCAATTTAATGTGTAATTTCTAATTTTATTAAAAAAAATTGTCATATACAGATTTGCAGTGATGATAGGTAATACCAATGTTAATGTTGTCCAACGTCAAATCTGTATTTGATCATGTGATGATACTATAAAATTTACAGCTGCTGTTTTGATGCAAAATTTGGCACTAGGGCCTGTCATAATAGTGTGCAACTGGGGCCCATCCTAACCACCGTACGCTGCTGAAGGGCTGTAATTCTGCATAGACTGTGTCTATTAATTAATATTCTAGCAACTAATCATTGTCCCTTTAAATTTATTTTTTCAGGCCAAGAGCAATCAGCTGTTTGTGAACCTGAAGAATGTAGATCCAAGAAAAAGGGCTCGAGCTGAACACTCAGGCACACTGCCTGCAGACTGGAAACAAGAAGACTGCTTCAGTGAACTGGGTGAGACATGGAATATATTATAGTGTTGTCATAGATATCAACATTTGGGCTGCAAGTTTCTGTGTATCTGTGTTGTTGGCTTTGAGCCTCTATTCTGCTATTTATCATTACTGTGAAATGTTCAGAGGATTCCAAAAGCTTAGTTCATGGATTTTAATTATTAGCTTGTTCTGTGTAATAAATATTTGGTCAATACTATGCTGTTAAGCACTGCTGAAGTAAGAGTGACACACCAGATTCAAAACTGAATCTCATGGCTGTTTACGTCAGTAGCTGCAAGGGATATGCAAGTAAGAAAACACATGCAAGTGGATGTAAATACAAACAAATAAAAAAAATGATCTCACAGCTTTTACAATGCATGATGAATGATGCATCCTATGGATGTGCTGGGACGCATCATCAGCGATGTATCCTGGGTTCATTGGGTGTTTTTCGGGTCTTGCAACATTTGACACCCTTGCCTAGGCAACCCAGCCGGGGTTGATCAACTTGCATCCCAGCAGCATTAGTTCATGGATCACCCCTCTTTATCCAAAGCCACCTGGAGGCTCTCTTTGCTGTGTCTGTCTCAGCCTTGATGGCTTTCTTCTTCATCTACTCATTCCCAGCCAGGTGTAGTTTCGGAAGAGAGACTGCAGCCTACTTCTGCTGGATGGCAGTGTGCTCTCCAACCCTGCCTCCGGCATTTCTCTACCAGTGCCTGGTACTTGGCATTCTTCCATTCAAATGCCTCTTCAAAGTGGTCTTCCCTGGGCACAGTCTGCTCTATCAGGGCAAGTTGTTCAGTGGCTTCTGACAGAATGGTGATGTCAGGTCACAAAGATGTCACAGCCTGCCCAGATCAACCATCAGGTGCCAGTCCTGTGTGGTGGTGCATAGGCCTTCAGCAGCTCTTGGTTGTGGTCTGGGCTGCTCACCTGCCTTGATGAAAGACATGTGCTTCTTGGGAGGGCCTTGGTGTCTGCAGTTTGTTATGGCTGTGGACACACTCTCGGCCACTGCTTTCAACAACTGGTTGTGACGCCAGCAGTAGCAACTGTCCCCCAGGGTCTTTCGGCAGCTGCTCAGGATATGCTTGAGTGATCCTCTCCTCGAGCAGAGGAGGACGGGTAGCTGTGTCAGCCTTGCCCCAGAGTTGGAGAAAGGGTGTCATACCCTGCTTGGATGAGGAATTTTATCATCATTTATCAGTTTTACCATCCATCCATCCATCCATCCATCCTCTTTGATTTTCCAGGACTAGTTCACAAATAAGTGACATTTAGGAAAAAATGACACAACTTAACAACAGCTCAAGCACATGGAGAAACCAAGAGGCACATAAACATATGATGCATAAAAAAAGGATGCAAATACAGAAAGAAAATCGTAAAGAGTAGAACAGAAATGTGTTACAATAAAAAGGAAATTTACAGGAAACACCAGCAACTGCTGAATGTGCCCGAATGCATGATGTGGCAAACCACAGCACAGAAGAGACAGACCTTATTTAAAGTTGAACATGACTTGAGAATTTCTGTGTGACATGATATCTCAAATAAAAAACCTTGAGGGACTTTTTCAGATTTGGCAAAAATGTCCACTTAGATTCAGTGATGAACTGATTGGAATTTGGTGGCCAAAGGTCAAGGTAACTGTGACCTCGTCTGTCTCATTCTCATGAATGTGATATCTCAAGAATGCCTTGAGGGAATATCCTCAAATTTGGTACAAAAGTCAAAATGGACTCAAGTGACTTCTAGTTGTTAGTTTATGCGATTTTGTATCACAGCAACTTGATATTTAGTACTGTGCTCCTTTTGAATGGTATATTTGACAGATAACAAAGATTCATTCATTCATTCATTCAGTGTATGATTGAAACTAGTAATTATAGTAATAATAATAGTTTGACCTTTTGACCAAACTTATTTAGACACTGTCAACTAAACAAGTTTACAAAACATCTGTTTTTAAATCTTTTCGGGTTGTCTGTCTATCAGTCCCATTCTTGTGAACGCAATATCTCAAGAGCGCAAATTTGGCACAAATGTCCCTTGGACACAGTGATGAACTGATTAGATTTTGTTGGTTAAATGTCAGTGTGACCTTACATCCATCTCATTCTTATCTATAGAACACCTTGAGGGAATTTCTTCAACTTTGGTGATCATAGGTCAAGGTCAGTGTGACCTCACAAAACAGGTTTTTGGCCATTTCTCAAGAATTTTTTCACAAATCATGACAAAACTTCAATGTCTATTAGGATAAAAGTATGAAGTGATGACATTTCAAAAGGTCAAAGGTCAACTTCACTGTGACATCATAGTGTTCTGCATAAAACACTATTATTATTTAACGTCATATCTCAGTAACAGAAGGGGAGACATTTGGTCAGACACTTAATTGGTGACTTGTGAAAAAACTTGTCATGCACAATCAGAGTAAACATCAACTTGCAGTCAACCATACACAATATCACTGCTTGAGGAAGGAGATGTGCAGTTATCTGACAACAGCTTACTTACAAATCTGTTGTATTTGCATTGTAATTGATGTGGATAAAAGACCTTTGATCTGTTATATGCCTAGTTCTTAATTAATGATGTGAGAAACACTTTGTTTAGTGTCTAATCTTGCCTTAACAGTCTCTCACATTTGCTTCCACCATTCACTGACCTCAGTCATTTTAATTTTTCTTCATACCAGGAGCGTACGGGGTTGACAGGAGATACATGGGGAAATCTTTACGAGGTAAGTCCTTCAGTTATACACATAAATCCTGAACTGCTCAGATTAATGCTGGACTTCACCTCTAACTAATTCCTCTGCCTCTGTTATCCAGATCTGGATCTGACGGGCACACCCTATCATGCCAGCTCCTGCTCTCTCAACAGCTCTGAAAACCCCTACGCAACGATAAAGGACCCTCCCCTGTTGATAGCCAAAAACACAGAGTGTGGCTATGTGGAAATGAAGTCACCAACCAGACGGGATTCACCATATGCCGAGATCGGCAACAGCAGCCCCGGCAATAACCGCAACGTCTACGAAGTCGGTGAGGAGCTTAAGCTTACATTGGTTTGTTGTCATTGTCAGTGCTCTATAGAGAAGTATGCTACAATTGCACTACATAGTAGTCCAGTCAACTTAATTTAGATATAGCCCTGTATCATAAATTACAAATTTGCCTCAAGGGACGTTACAATCTGTACAGCAAATGACATCCTCTGTCCTTAGACCCTTGATTCTGACAAGGACAAACGAAAGCCTCTTAAGTGTCCACAGTCCTTTTTATGGCTTATTAGATGATAATAATATGTAAACAACTGCTGTGTTTAAGTGGTTTACTCATACACCCTATCTTACGAAAGCTACGCTCCTTGCAGTTGGATTGATGTGGACCATTTCAAGTAACAACCACTACAGCAGGTTCAGTAAACACTTCTGTCAGACAAACAGTTAAAACTCACCTATGAAGTCTTATCATAATCCACAGATCAGTAATATTCCAACAAAAACAGTTCTCAAACATTTGCATACGTCAAGACAATTTGAATCTAGTGAAATATTTAGTCCAAACCAGTCATCGCGTGTCTTGATGCGAATTAAATGGATGCAAAGAAATTTCCTTAATGATCTTGACTCCAGTTTAGCTGCTTTCAGTGATTCAAACGGGTTCTGTTTGTGTGACACTATCATTCCCCCAGGCTATGGTAAGACATATGACTGGTTACAATATGCCAACCTGAGGACGTCCCCTAGACCCAAGTCCTCCACAGTGTTGATTGGTGTGCAGTCAGTTGCCACCCATTTTGCAAGCATTTGGTCAACTTCTTTGATTTAGTGTAATCCTCAAGTCTGTGTATATTTGCTCACTCCAGAAAAGTGCTTTGCTAGCTTTGGTGATGTGGTTGCCTGCTGACATCAGTCTGATTAGCCGCACCTGTGAGCTGAGCTCATACGTGGTAGTTTAAATTCAAATTACGTTGGTGATAATTTCATTCCGTTTGACACAAGGTGCATATTGCTTTAGACTTCAACTGAGTGGTTTGGGAAAGTGAAATGAACCATTCAGAACTGCTTTTCCATCACTGTGGCAACAGGAAGCAGGAGGCCACTGTAGTGGCTTGACTACAAGTAAGGGTGTGTCAAAAGGACAAAGTAGGAGTACGCGATTATTGCAATTTAAAAGAAATAAGGCATTATGTTCGGGCCTTAAGTGCATTGCCATAACACATTAATGATGACAGCCCCAGTCCAAACACATTATTACATCCATAGACATCCATGGACTGCCATTGCATCATTTCAGATGTTCATATTTCTCACCGTACTGTCTCTCCACAGCCTACAATAGCCAACGAAAGCCTCTCTTCTTTGCCTGCAGAACCAGCCAGTAGCAAGCAGAGTTTTAAACTCTTTCTTGGCATTATTGACTGTTATAAATGTGTGTAAATGATAAACAAATGACTTCTCTGTTGTCTTAAGGGGAAAAAAATCGTGTTCTTATCAGTTAAGGTTTTCTAGAAGTGTTTTTATATACAGTAACCTCCTAAATAGGCATTTCTTACTGTGTTGATTAGTTTTTCACTTATAATTACACATTCAGTTCATTGTTTTACCCTCTTTTTGAAATGCACCTGGACAGAAGCTTAGAAATATGTGTGGGAAATGTTTATTTGCTGTGATAATAGTATCAATTTTGAATTTGGACCATGTGAGGCTTCATGATACAACCCCATTGTGTTGTCCAGCTAATAGATCCCAAATGTAGTCATTAAGAAAATATTCAGGTGAAAAAAATCCCATTTATTTCTGTGTGTTAAAACTTCTCAGTAACTCAGTGACAGAAGCATTTACAGTGGTCGGAGTGCACCATGTTTGCATGTTTGACAGTACATAATTCGCACATCAACATACCATGACAATGTGGGCCGAATCAAAATAATAAGAACATCCATAGAGACCTGATGTTCTAGCACTTGTCCAGGCCTCTCAACTGGGAAAATCAGTTTGCAGTTGGGAGAGGTAAATGCAGACCGGCCCACACAACCAGTTGCTTGCTCTCGCGAGCCTTACCACATCACTGAATGGGAACAAACTCCCCAGCATCTGCGAACGAGGCAGTGCTAATGCTACTGAATCTTCCAAAATGTTGGACATTTCTTTTAATTTTACAGCTTTGTACTTTATTCTTCCTGCAACTGCCAACTGGCATATCTTTGATTCCAGAGCCAACTGTGAGCAACATCCAGCTGACCGGAGACAGCAATGGCCACGTACCGTTTGGTCAGGATCCGTACGATCTACCAAAAAACAGCCACATCCCCTGTCACTATGACCTCCTGCCAGCCAGAGAGAGTCCGTCCCTGGAGCACAAGGAGCTGGACAGTGAATGATGGCACAGAGACTCAGTACAGAGACCAGGTCTCACCTCCAGTGTGCAGCTCTGCCACTGGCTGTTCCACAAAAATGCACACTTTATACCCACTGCATACTTTCACTTGTTTTCTAGCTGTTCTACTTTGACACTGTCATTGTAATTATGTATCACGACTTCTTTCTGAACAAAGTGGGTATGGAAGAGTTTGGAGGTTAGTTTTGGCTGTTATTTTTTTACAGCAATGTGTTAACTGCAATGAAGTCTTCGTAGGTCATTCCACACGTCTGGGAGGTAACGAATGAAGCAGTTTGTATGATGTATTGTCAGCCCACTGCTAATGGCAGAAGTGTTTGCACCTGTCCTAAATGGCCACACTGAAAGGTGGGCTGAAAGGCTGGCTGTCACAGCCTCCTTCTGACGGCCTGCCTGATCTTTCTGCAAGAGCTCTGTCTTTTTTGTCTTGTAGTCACAAGACACAGCAAATTGTACAAACCTCAACAACAGAAACATTCAGATGGTGGCAAAGCGTTTGTGGTGTTGTACACTCAAAAAGTGACCTGTCCATACCTTGCTGTGTAAAACATTGCAATGGATTATTTGGAAATCAACAAAAAGTTGTCAGATGCAGCCCCACCCAAAGGCGGTTTCAGATATTGTTTGTTTCAAGCGTACTGGAGCCTTCCTGATGTTTGTGTATCACATTCAACACCAATCAAATCTCTATTTTTGTAACAGTAGTATCAGAAAATGGCTAATTGGAGTGAATATTAGCAATTATATCAAAGATGAGATGTTTGTTAAAGTTTTGTTTTTGTGAGGAAGAGTGGTAGCGTCAAGCTGCTCACAGTGTTTCTGATATTTGAATAATCAGTGTTGGATTAGTATTTAAGTTAACCAAAGGTACAAATTCCATTGAAAGACTATGTTTATCACCATAGTTCAAAGCTATGCAAATTGTTTAATACAAGAGGTTACAAGCTGAGCCTTTTTTCATTGTAACAGAGTTTAATTTTTGATAATTTCCCACTGATTTCAAATCATTTCTTTTTCAGTTCATCAAGAAATCAAATAATACATAGAAAACAGAGATGTAATTTTATTTTAAGCAGTAACAAACCATAATTGATCATTGGTCATCATATCATACATAGTAATCCGTGATCATTATCTCCACTCTGTGACACCTGTTGCCTTTTACAGCAGTTCTTTGGATCACGATGTTCTTCCGTACTTCGTATCAAGAACTTGTGAGCACAAGTGCACAACACATATTTCTTATGTGTCTTTGATTGATTGATCCACCCTACTAAGCCATTGTAGTTCATTTTAAATGATGATCAAAGTTGTGGGTAGTATTAGATCAGCAAGGAACGATGGCAGAGGAGATATCTGCACACCAAAGTGACTGGGCTAGAAAGCCACAGAAAGATCCACAGGTTGAAATCAATGCAAAAACAGTCCATTTATTAAAGACATCTGTGCATAAAAATGGTGCTCAAAGTGCACAAAAATGATAAAGAATTAGTAAAAAAAAAAAAAGCAGCAAACATTTCAGTCCTTGACTGTCATCAGTGCTACTGATATGAGTGCTTCACAGAACACATACAGAGACAGACAGATTCCGACCAGGTGCGATAAATCAATCAGCTGGTGCCACTACTTAGATGACATCAACTCTGAGTGGAGAAGCATGACTACCAAATCACAATGACCTATCATACGAGTACTACACAACATCTAGTACTATTCTCAACATCCTCAAACACCAATACATGATGGCAGAAAATATTATGCAAATGTACAAAACACTAAAACTATACACAGAATGAAAGAAAAGAAAGGGCAAAATATGACAAAGCATGTTCCACAATGCCATGGTGGTACATACAGATGCCTATAAATCTGCATGCAGATACAAATGTAAAGCACTCTTGTCAACAGTGCTTTGCGTTAGTTCACGCATGACATGGAAGTCATACACCCCAGCTGTAACTAGCTGACAGCCAGCTGATAGAATTATTACTTCTAATCAGTCACACACCAATCACAGCCCATTCTCAAAACAAGGCAGTCCATTTAAATATGGCCTCCTACTCACTGATCCTTGCTACATCATTGCTACCACATACCACTGCTGCTGCAGTTGCTGGCAAAGCTTTGCCTCCTCCAACCTTCCTATTTCAGAGTCCTAACATTGTTTAAAGGTTAAAAGGGTATTTTAGGTTTTGCTTTGGCCTTACTCTTGTATACCAAGGGGGGTTTTCTGCATTGCGCTCCCTGTTTTGGTGTAGCATGCTGCTTGTCTAATCCAGGGAGCATCTTAAGAGTGAAGCCATCAGCACCAAGCATAAGTATTTCCATTTGTTTCAATAAATATGATGATGATAGTCAAGGACTGAAACATTTGCTGCTGTTTCTACTCAATCTTTATCATTTTTGTGCACTTTGAGCACCTTTTTTGTGCACAGATGTCTTAAATAAATAGACTATTTTTGCTTTGATCTCAGCCTGTGGACCTTTTTGTGGCTTTGTAGCCTAGTTACATTGGTGTGCGGGTATCTAATCTTGCAGTGCATGCAAGGGTCAAGTGAGTACCGAATTTGTACATCAATATCCAATGACAATGTGGGCAGAATCAAGATAACAAGAACATCCAGAAGAGTCCTAATTTTCCAGCACTTGTGCAGGCCTCCCATCTGGGATGCTATTCATAAACACTGAAAGTACTTCATTTTCTGAGAATAAATGTTTCAAACTGGTATTTTTAAAACGT